CACTGTATTTTTTAAATGCCTCCCAACCTAGGGGGTTCATCTTCCAGCACTATGATGGGCACTGTTCTTTTGTGATCCACAGGGTTTTCAGTGGTTGATGTTCAGAAGTAGATCGCCAGGCCTTTCTTCTAGTCTGTCTTACTCTGGAAACTCTGCTGAAGCCTGTTGGCCATGGGTGACTCTGCTGGTATTTGAAATACTGGTGGCATAGCTTCCAGCATCATAGCAACTCACAAGCCACCAGGGTAGACGAAGTGACAGATGGGTGGTGGCTCCATTCCCTCCATTCCCTAAAATGGTATTAGAATGGACATGAAGTCTTGTGTCTCTCTGTAGCATCCATCCCTACCACCCCACCCCCCCAAAAAACAAGGCAAACAAGCATGGCTGTTAGTTTGTGGGGTCCACTCTGCACCAGAAGTCTGAGTTTGGAGGGGTAATTATATTTCAGGCGTGTGGGTGTATGTTTAAAGTATATCTAATAGAAATGGAGATGGAGGATCTGCTATGTTTCTGTAAGACCTGGGTCTGCTCATGGTTAAATTTAAGCAGAGGGTAGATATTGAACCTGTGGCAATAGCTAGTCCATTCCATAGAATACAGAATAAAGAGAAATGGAAAAAAAAAATTTTATTGTACTGTTGGGCTTCATACAGTCAAAGAGACATAGTTGTATGTGAGAGAATTCTTTCCAGAGCTCTAACAGAATAGTGTGCTGATTATCCTTTATATATTTCCTTTGTTCCTGGACACATCATCCGCAGATGGATATTTTCTGTTTTCCAGAATATTGGGGCACCTTGGTGATTACTGAAATTCTTAGCTGTATCCCAGTAACCTTTAAAGCTGTTCCATAGACATCTCAAGCACTGTGATACCAAATGTCAGTTACGTATGTGAGAGAAAAGTAGGCCTTTTGAACTTAATGAAGCATACTTAACTTTTATTCTGTTGGTAAGTTTCGCAAAGTTTAGCTATCATTTTGACCCACAGCTTCAGGTGTCATCTGTACATGTCTAAGATCAAACTGTACCTATTAACTGAATCTCGAATGAATGTTTGAATTACCTTCATTCTGTGGAACATTATTAAACTGTGTGCTGTGTTCTGGTGTGGTGGTGGTGGCGGTGTGTGCGGCTGAGTCGATTCCGACTCATAGTGATCCTATAGGACAGGGTAGAACTGTCCCATAGGGTTTCCTAGGCTGAAATCTTTATGGGAGCAAATCCCCAGGTCTTTTCTTCCACGGAGCTGCTGGTAGGTTCGAACTGCCCACCTTCTAGTTGGCAGCTGAGCACTTAACCACTGCACCACCAGGGCTCCTTTGTTCTAGCATGGAACTACAGATTTGCTTGGATCTCGCTGTTGTGAATTTCTTAGGTTTACTCTGATTGCACTCGGGCTTGTTTTAGTCAAGATTCTTTCTGTTGCAAGTGGCAGAAACTAAATTCAAACAAACGTAAGGAAAAAGGGATTGTCTCCAGATCTAGGAAGGACTGGGGGTGACTGCATCCAAGTGATGTCCCTGTATATTTCTCCCCCTCTCCAAGGGACCTCTATCCACCCAGCCCCTTATCTCTGCTTCTCTAATTGCAAGCCTCATTCTGTCCTATGTTATAAACGCACAAAAGACTCAGCACAGTGGTTAAGAGCTCGGCTGCTAACCAAAAGGTCGGCAGTTCAAATCCACCAGCCACTCCTTGGAAACCCTATGGCGCAGTTCTACTTTGTCCCGTAGAGTCGCTATGAGTTGGAATCGACTCAATGGCAGCGGGTTTTTGGTTTTGGTAGGCAGCCTCCGTGTTATGTCATCTAAGCTTAAGCGCCGCAGAGTGAAGAGAAAATGCCCGCTTTCAGTGTTTATAAATCCCAGGGAAGGACCCTGAGTGGCCAGGCCTTTGCCTTGTGTCTACTCTTGTGGCTGGACTGTAGGGTACCATGATTGACGGGCGCTGCCAAAATCAGATGGTCGGAGTGGAGGAGGGGCAGTTTCTTAAAGGGAACGTGGAGACGGTGCTCCGCCGGTGCTCCGCCGTTACTCTCAGGCGGGGACAGGGATGCTGTGCTAGCGTAAGCAGCAGATGTTCATTACAGTTACTTCTTTCTTCTTTTTGTTTTTAGGAAATTGCTTGGAATTGTTTTTCTTTTCCTTTGAAGTCAAATTCTTGCTTCATTCGTTTTCCCCCTCCCATCTGGACTCTTGCAACATTCTTTCAGCAGCGGTTTTTCTGTAGCTGCCCCTTCCCTTTGTCTTCAGGCTGTGGCAGAAGTACTCTTTTCTTACCACTGTGTAGGGCTTGGAGCGCTGGTGACGCAGTGGGTAAGAGCTCAGGCTGCTCACCAAAAGGTTGACAGTTCAAATCCACCAGCCACTCCTTGGAAACCCTATGGGGCAGTTCTGCTCTGTCCTGTAGGGTTGCTGTGAGGCGGAATTGACTCGACAGCAACAGGTTTGGGTTCTTGTGTGTGTAAGGCTACGTATTTATTTCCTTGACAATGTACATTGGCTTCCATTCTGTGGGCCTTATGTATACTCAGCTGCCTCCATCTTTCAAATCTTTATTTCATCTTCCTCTCCCATCTTTTTTTTTTTTTAATTGTGCTTTAGATGAAAGTTTACAGAGAAAATTAGTTTCTCATTAAACAGTTAATACACAAATTGTTTTGTAATATTGGATGCCAACCCCGCGATGTGTCAACATGCTTCCCTTCTCCACCCTGGGTTCCCTGTTCCCATTTGTCCGGTTTTCCTGTCCCTTCCTGCCTTCTCGTCTTTGCTTTTGGGCTGATGTGCCCATTTAGTCTCGAGTACATGATTGAACGACGAAGCACATTCCCCATATGTGTTATTGTTGGCCCTAGACCTGTCTAATCTTTGGCTGAAGGGTGAACCTCGGGAGTTATTTCAGTACTGAGTTAAAAGGGTGCCCGGGGGCCATACTCTCGGGGTTTCTCCAGTCTCTGTCAGACCAGCAAGCCTGGTCTTTGTGTGTGTGTGTGACTTTGAATTTTGTTCTACATTTTTCTCCCACTCTGTCTGGGACTCCTCTCCCATCTTTGCTTCTCACATTCTGCTCTCTCTAACCCTCTTGTCTTCTGTTTAATTCTTCCACGTATGATTTTCTGCGTGTAGAGCATTCTCACGTTTTAGATGAGACGATCGTGTGCTGATGAAGAACTCTCAGGGAGTCAGTCAAGCTATGAAAACAAAGCTTCCAGTGGTGACCGGCGCCTGTGGTTTCCTCCGTGAGCCCTGTTTTCCCTGCCATCCACAGCACAAGTCTGTGGTAACCCCACAGACCCCTGGACAGTCCCGTGGATTTCGGGGGTGTTTTAACCATATTCAGATTTGTTTTTTCCTCTGCAGTTCAGCAACAAGCTTCCTCTTGCAAGGGGAAAAAAAAATGACTAAGTCTCTTTTGACTCCACATCCTCCTTGATACCTAAGCAAGTGAAAGTGAGGTGATAGTTAAAACTAACTGGAAAAAACTCACTGCCACCAAGTCGTTTCCAGCTCATAGTGACCCCATAGGGTTTCCAAGGCTGTAAATTCTCTCTGAAAGCAGACTGCCACATCTTTCTCCCTTGGAGCCGCTGGTAGTTTCGAACCACTGACCTTTTGGTTAGCAGTCAATTGCTTCAAAACTTATGGCGTAGGTTCCTGTATCCTATCTATTCAGGTTATAGCTGAGTGGAATCCTATCTTCTGTGCATTTAATTTACAAGAATTCAGCTATACCAGTTCAGAGAAGAGGAAAAGGAAATGTATCTTGTCCTACACAAGGCCCATACTTCTAGGAGGAGGTCTCTGGGGTCGGGGTGGGTCTTTGAAGGAAGATTCTCTTATTATTGGATTATTGGAAGCTGGAAGGAGCGAGGAACTTTTCTCTCCCTCACTTCACTCATCAGCTTATACACATATTGATACAAAATGAATAACATTAGCATTTATACAGCATATAGATATTTTTAGACTTAGTTCTTATTGTTCTTTTATGTAGTGTGATAGAAGATTATAGAGTTTTCTTTTCTCAGATGGGGGCTTCTGGAGGGTTGTGTCTGACAGTTGGTGGTAGTAACTTGGCACCGCGCACGTGTAGGTCCCATGCACTGCTCCCCACCCCCCACTTTTTTGGTTAACATTCGTTGTTCTGTATACACCCCCTAAATGTTAAACTGTCACTGTTCCCATCATATTAGACATTTGTCAAGACAGAGAGAGAAAGAGAGCGGTTTGGGGGTTTTCGTAGTGACAGCTCCACGCTCTGGGTGCTGTGATTACCTAAGCACGTCCATTCTTGGGAAGAAACTCAGGGTCAAATAGGCAGCTCATCCCGGCACACTGGGCATTGCATTTCACACATGGTCTGTGTGGGAAGTCCATGAGTCAGGTGAGAATCGAGAATGCTCAAAGGACCCTTGAAAATCCCCTGGGAAGGAGTCATGTTGGGAGACTGCCATGTGGGTTCTCAGGAAGTCCTGTGCAGCCAGTGTTTGCCCCACTGTTGGGACAACATGCCGCTTGTCCTTCTCAGCATGGATGAAGCGGATTGCTCGTGTCTAGTTGGCGTGTTGTATGAGGCACGCAAGGACCAAGACTGGCCCAAAGCACAGCAGACTGCCATCTCCCAGCCCACCTCACTCTGGAGCACATGGTTACCGAGTGGACTGGTAGGCAGAATCTCCGGCACTGGGTGAATCATTTCTTTTTTTCCCTTGTCCCCTTGTAAATGGAATGGCAGTACAGCCCATTTCCACTGTTTTTATCTTGGCTTGTAGGCTGAGTGAACATAAGACAGCACGTAATGTTTGAAGTTGTGGAGTTTGTGCCATGTTATCAGTGAGCTAAAGGATCATTTTAAAAAAAAAAAATCAGTCTTTGGGATTTAAAAAAATCTCACCTAGATGCCAAGAATGGAGCTTGCGCAGTTGGGAGACTTTTGAGGGTAGAATGACTAATAGGATCTTGTACTGAATGACCAGAGCTGACACCAAGGGAGGGAGGGAGGGAATACGATGGTGAACAAGGCAGATCTTGTCTTTATGCTCCTGGAACTTGCATTCCAGTCTGGGGTGGAAGGAGTGGTTCACCCAGCTGAGTTGAGCAGGATAGAAAAGGCTTTTTTGAGGGAGCAAAGTCCTAGCTGAGACCTGAAGCATGAATATGATCTTCAGTAGTTCACAAACTCGATTGCATAAAAGTAAAACCCAATTACAACTTGGCTTATTATGGCATAGGTTCCTGTATCCTGTGAGTCAAATAATATCCTCTGAAGCTTAACAATTACCGGTAATAAAACTGATAATTAATTTGCGACACAGGTCTTACTCCTGTCTCCATATTTCTTGTGTTAATCATCAAATACTTACTGAATGTCCACCTAGCTGTGTAAGTCAATGAGCCCTGTGATGTAGAGTGTACGAAGAAGCATGGCCCCATTTTTATAATATAACCTGTTGCCGTTGGGTTGATTCCGACTCATGACGATGCCATGTGTGTCAGAGTAGAATTGTGCTCCATAGGGTTTTCAGTGACTGATTTTTTGGTAAGTAGATCACCAGGCCTTTCTTCTGAGGCACCTCTGGGTGGACTCAAGCCACCAACCTTCTGGTTAGCAGCGGAGCTGCACCACCCAGGGACTCCTTCTTTTGTATAGTTGAGGAGAAAAGACAGAGTCACATGTTAAGTTAACTAATGAATCAGAATGGAGGACGTGCCAAGGCATTGTTCGGAGAAAACGTGCGTTCAGCGGATGGTTAGGGAGGGAAGACGTCGTAGGCAGATCTGATCTGAATGGCTCCCGGAAGGAAGGAAAGAAAGAACCTAGATAAACGGAGAGGACGAGGAGAGGAAAGGTGACCCAGCAGGAGCAGACATGGAGGGAAAGCGGAAGCCATTCTTCAGGGACCCTGAATACCAATAGAAAGTTTAGTGCAAAAGGAGGCGTGGTCAGCTCCTGTGACGTCCAGAATCACAGGCTTAGAATTTGGAATTTTATCCTATAGGCACGGGGGGAGGCCTGGTGGCCCATGGTTGAGAGCTCGGCTGCTCACCAAAAGGTCGGCAGTTTGACTCCACCAGCTGCTCCTTGGAAACCCTACGGGGCAGTTCTACCCTGTCCCGAAGGGTCGCTGTGAGTCGGAATCAACTCAACGGCAATGGGTTTGCTTTTTGGTTTAGGCGTTGGGGAGCTGTTAAAAATGAGTCCATTTATGAAAGAAAGATAATAGAAAACTATCAGAAGTTAACCCTCTGTTGTGTGTTTGTCATCATTTTCTTCACAAAACAAACAAGATAGAACAAAACAAAAAAATAAAAGAAGAGAAATACTTGGACGGGGAAGGCCAGAACAGTTGGGAATGTTTACCAAGGTAGAAAATTGGTGAAAGAGTTCCCAGTTGACCTGGCTCAATAGGTCACGTTCTAGAGTTCTGATTCATTTGGCCGGTGTCATGGGATCACTGCTGTTTATATGGTACATACCCTTTTTTTTAAGTCCTTGTATCTATTATTAATTGGCTAGAAGAATTTAAGAAGGAATAAAATAAATAAGCTTGGGAATTATCAAGATGTCAGATAATCTTAAATCAACTTTTAAAATACCAGTTTATTAGCACTCAGAAGAGGATAACATACTGGATAATCTTGATTCTGTGACACGTACTTCCCATCAGATTAACCTGATGTCACTCCAGGAGAGACTAAGAAACAGTTGTTGTTTGCAAGTACTATTTGGCGTGGCATCCCTTAAAAATGATAAAAACAGTAGATCATACGACGGTTGAAGAACTGGTTGTACAGTTGCATGTCAAGAGGAAATTATCGGTTGTTTGTTGCCAACCTTTGTACTGGGTTGGCACTTACGTGATATCTGAAGATAGTATCTGCATCAGGTATGTAATACTAAGTGTCATATATTAAGCATGTCATCGTTGGTCTGTATATTGGAATGAAGAACTTGCTCAATTAATATTTGGGCAATACCAGTTGACAGGGGAGGGGCTAATATTTCAGAAAGTTAGAGATGTGCTCAGAAAAAATTAAATGAAGTTGGGTAGTGTCATTGTTTCCATTGCTGCCATAACAAATTACCATAAATTTAGTGGCTTAAAACAGCACAACTTTATTATCTTATAGTTCTGTACGTCAAAAGTCTACACATGTCACTGGGCTAAATTCAAGATGTAGGCAGGGCTTTGTTCCTTTCTGGAGACTGTAAGAGAGAATCCATTCCCTTGCCTTTTCCAGCCTCTAGAGGCCACCCACATTCCCTGCCTCCTGGGCCCCTTCCTCCATCTTCACAGCCTGCAACATAGCATCTTTCTGAACCTGCTTCTGTTGTCACGTCTCTTTCTCTTTGTGACCCTCTTCCACTTTTTAAGGACTCGTGTGATTACATTGGACCCACCTAGGTAATCCAGGATAATCTCCCCATCTCAAGGTTCTAATTTAATCACACCTGCAAAGTCCCTTTGGCCATGTAAAGTCACATAGTCACAGGTTCCAGGGTTTAGGACGTGGACATCTTTGGGGACAATATTCTGCCTGCCATGGGTTCAGTCAGTAGAGATGGGTGTCCAGTGACAACCGCACAGTAGGTGTTTAGTTAATATGTGTTGAATGAACGAGAAATCTCTTTTTCTCCTTCTCTGCAGAATGAGATGGGGCCGGGTGGAGGGGGAGGCGGATCAACCTCATCAGTCATTTAGAGAACAGTGGAAACAGCTTTTCCTTACTGGGTCTGGTTTAGCAAATCCTGGTGAAGGGGTGACGGACGCTGGCCATCTCATGCAGTCGCTGTTAATAGGGCTTTTCTGACTGGCAGCCTCCGCACGGGCCACACGGTTTGAAGGAGACCTTCCCAGAACAAAAGGTCAGGAGGTGCTGTCTGGGCAAACAACACCAGTGTCCATAATATTCCATCTTGTAGATAGGGAATAGAAGGGCTCAGGAAGACAAACAAGTTGAACGAGGTCGCAGATGAGAACCAGTCCGTATTCAAATCTGATTTTAATTGACTTTAGCTTATCTTCTTTCCAGTTAGCCACCACATCCCATCAGTAAAAGGAGGTCAGGAAACGAAGGTTGCAAGTGGAGTTGGTAGCCTGGCAAGATGATGGTCTTCGTTCAGAGAATGTTTGATCTCTTGACAACTTCTTCAGTGTGATATTGGTGGTGGTCACAGATGCTCAGCTTTTGTACAGTCTCAGGAGCCTCTTACTAATTCCACACAAGCGACAGAAAGGAGATTGTTTTCCTCTCTAGGTTATTTTGGAAAGACAAATGAGAAATATAAAACATTTTTGAAGATTATGAAGCATTTAAATAAAAGTTTTCATTGCGTAGTGGGTAAGAGTTCAGGCTGCTAACCAAAAGGGCAGCAGTTGGAATCTACCAGCCGCTCCTTGGAAACCCTATGGGGCCATTCTACTCTGTCCTGTAGGGTCACTATAAGTCGGATTCCACTCGACGGCAGCGAGTATAGTCTTTTCTACGATTTTTAAAAAATGTATAAAATAAAACTTAGTAACTGTCCTTTAAATCCACTGAATGTGAATTAGATGTACATGTGTATAAACATACATGGACTACTTGGTTGAATTTTTTTTCTTAGAGGTACAAATGGGCATGCAAGGCTTCAGGAAGAAGTCATTTATCACGGGCAGTTCAGTCTTTGAAGACAGGCCTACAGATGTTAGCGTTGCTGCTGCGGTTGACTCATCCGAAAAGAAGTGATACTTCAGTACCTAGCGTTGGAAGGATACTTTCAAATGTTGCCAGATACAGAATGTCATCAGATATATCTTCTAGGAATGCGCTTTGTAGGACTGGGTTTGAGGCTTATCTTCTGTAGCACGTGAAAGAAATTAGCCCGTGTTTTACTGTACCGAACATACTGGCTGGAAAAGTTGGTTTCAGCTCTTGAAAAATCAGTTTTCAGGAGTCCACATGTGTTACACATTGTAGATATTAGTTCTTTTAATATGATAGAAATGAACCACGGAAAGAAGTGAAATTAATTATAGGGATTTAAAAAATGAGCCTAATTAGATAAAATTGTTGGTGAGCTTTGGGCATGTTATTAAAAAATAAATAAAGTAAAGCAACAATTAACTTCCAGCTGCCTTTGAAAAAATTAGTCATTTCAGTGGCTCATTGATTGTCAGCATTTTTTCTCCTATCACTTCGCTAAGGAGTTTTATGTAGTAAGAGAACTTCACTTTGGAAGTGGGGCGCGTGTTGGCAGTAGGGGCCCCTGGAGGGCAGAATCTAGGTTGAGAAAGCTTTCCGCTGTGACTTCCTGCTAGGCATTGGATACCGTGGAAAACACACCTAGTCTATAAAAATAACCTTTGTTTTTATAACCAATATTTCTATAAACCAAAACCAAACCTAACCTGTTGCTGTCGAGTCAATTCCAACTCTTAGCGACCCTATAGGACGGAGTAGAACTGCCCATATAGTTTCCAAGGAGCGGCTGATGGATTCACACTGCCGACTTTTTGGTTAACAGCTGAGCTCTTAACCACTGCGCCATCAGGGCTCCAGTATTACTGTTGTTGTTTTGTTGTTGTTAGGTGCTGTCAAGTCGGTTCCAACTCACAGCGACACTGTAGGACAGAGCAGAACTGCCCCCATAGGGTTTCCGAGGAGTGGCTGGTGGATTTGAACTGCTGACCTTTTGGTTAGCAGCCAAGCCCTTAACCACTGCGCCACCAGAGCTCCAGTATGATTATAGCATTGTTTATATTCTCATGTTTTTCCTTTTTTAGTCTAAACAGGCAAAGCTAAGTAATGTTGGATTTTTAAAAGTTTTGTCATTTGTAGCCTAATTGTAACCCAACCAAAAAACATTTAAAAGCAAAATTAATCCTTGAACATATTGTTTTATTCTGAATATATTTTTTCAGTTTTCTAGAAATGACAGTTTTTCAAGAAAATCAGTTTTTTTTTGTATAATATAGCATCGTACCATTACGAGCTGTGAAATATACAAACTGTTGCATTTGTTTTCATTTTTTTTTAGTATTTCAATTTCCCCCAAAATGTTCATGTTTCTCTATGATTAGCTTTCTTTCTAGAGATCTCTGGTAGGCTGTGAAATTATTTTATCCTGGAGGTCATCGTTGCTTCCCTTAGTAGATCTGAGCCCTTAGATTTGCTAGTTTGTGTTAAATGACTGGGTGTCTCTTCTGGGCCGTCTGTCTACACTAAGCTCCCCGAGAGATCTGTGGCCTTACGTGGATGCCAAAGACGAGACTTATCCATCTGCCTATCTCCAGGGGAACTGGAGAGTTACCCTGAGGTTTGGGAACGTGAAGCAGGGGTTGATAGAAGCTTTTGGCCCCAATGTGCCTTCATACTGTTAGGACATAAATCTCTTGGTACCAGTGATATCAGTTGGTCTGGTGGCTGAACTCCTCCCAACTCTACCACCAGTGTTATGACCTTGGGTAGTGGGCCACTTCCCAGACTCTGCGTCTGAGTTAGGTGCCCCTTCTTTGTGCTCCCATAGAAACGCTCTCACTATATCATACCCTGTGCCCCAGGATTGATTTCTCTTTGCCTGTAATCAGATGATTGGATGATTAATTTGTTTCTGATGAAGTCTGACCAAGTAAGTCTTTAGAATGTCCACTTGACAAGAAGGAAATCTTAATAATACTTTCTTTCTTTTTTTTTTTTTTGAAAAGAGATCATCATTCAGGTTATTGTGACCTAAAGGCAAGCAAACAAAACAGAAGAAAAAACCTTGATTTGAATTGACTGAGTGCGATTATTAGAAGTAAATATGGAGAATGAACCAGACCAGGAGAATGTGGAACAGAGCCGAGCTGCCAAGACAGCTGAAGAAGAACTGAATAAGCCTTTCAGTCTAGAAGCTTCACTTTCAAAATTCTCCTACATAGATTTGGACAAGGAACTGGAGTTCAAAAATGATTTGGTAAAAATGTCACCTTCTTGTCAAGTAATAATATTTAACTAAAGTATTCTTTACAGTGTGTTTTATGACCCAAAAGTCTCTAAGTCTGTCGTTTTTGCATGGATTAATAGAAGTCTATGTAGTGTTTTATGAGATAAAACCACTCTTCGTTTCTATAGTTCATTACCGTTCATGAAACAAGTTCTCATTTGAGCTCCACAGCTCTCATGTTACTCTGTGAAAATCCATCTTAGAGACGAGGAAACCACAGCTCAGCTCTGGTAAATGACTTGTCAAGGTCACAGAGCTAGTGCTAGGTTTAAAATTCTTATCTTGCACAGTGATTTTCCCCTCTGGATTTGATACTAATCAATGGGTTTCAGTGACTGTGAGAATATTTAATGACAAGTTGCTCGATCTCATCGTCTCTCACCATAATTTATGAAATAACCGAGGAATACAATGTCAGACCCTTTCATATTGTTTATGGCTTGTATGTAAACTTAAAAAATCGGGTTGTCATAAGACATGCTGTTTTGTCACGTTCAAGAAAGCAAATGCAAAAGTCTTTCAACAGAAGCTTTCTGGAAAGGGCTGTCAGGATGATGCAAAGACAAGCAAAAACCAAATGCACTGCCATCGAGTTGATTCCGACTCCTAGTGACCCTATAGGACAGAGTAGAACTGCCCCATAGCGTTTCCAAGGCTGTAATCTTCACAGAAGTAGACTGCCACATCTTTCTCCTGCGGAGCAGCTGGTGGGTTCAAACCACTGACCTTTTGGTTAGCTGCCGAGTGCTTTCATCACCGCACCACCAGGGCTCCTCCAGAATGGTACAGTTAGTGTGTATTTGCCCTTGATAGTCACTGAATGTGTGGCTAGAAAAGGAAACATTTCTGCGGTCTTCAGACCTGACCCTTGTTACCATGGATTATTGAGTTGACTGTATGATCAGAGTGGAGCCCTGGTGGTGCAGTGGTTAAGAGCTCAGCTTTTAACCAAAAGGTCAGCAGCTCCTTGAGAGAAAGATGTGACAATCTGCTTCCGTAGAGATTTACAGCCTTGGAAACCCTATGGAGTTGCTATGAGTCAGAATGGACTTGATGGAGTGGGTAGGTGTCAGAGGATGGAGCCCTGGTGGCGCAGTGGTTAAGAGCTCAGCCGCTAACCAAAAGGTCAGCAGTTAGAATCCACCAGCTGCTCCTTGGAAACGCTGTGGGGCAGTTCTACTCTGTCCTATAGGGTTGCTATGAGTCATAATCGACCTGACAGCAACGGGTTTGGTTTTTTTCTTGGTTTGGTATAATCAGATTAGTGGTATATTTATCTCTTAATTGATAGTGTTCTAATCTCCCATTTATAAGAGGGGAAGCATCATTATGTGATCGTTAATTTCCTTTCTCTGTTTAGATTGATGACAAGGAGTTTGATATTCCTCAAGTTGATACTCCTCCAACCCTGGAAAGCATCCTGAATGAGGTAGGTGTATGTTAGCACTCACTCATTTCATAGCACTGATTTTCATTCTTGCGGGTTAGTTATAGTATATGTAATCCAGATCTGCACTGTGTGATACGGAATCCTCTACTTACATGTGGAGGTTTAAATTAATTAAAACTAAATAAAAGTGAAAACTTTAATTCCTCAGTCACATAGGGCACATTCCAAGTGCTCAGTGGCCACATGTGGCTAGTGACTGCCCTGGGGACCGTACAGACAAGGAGCGCTTCCGTCACTGCAGAACATTCTGTTGGACAGCGCTGGTCTAGGTCATGAGTTCCTCAAGAACACAAACCATGTCTCATTCATTCTTAGAGTCTCCGTGCCCAGCGCAAAGCTTGGCGCATGGTAGGTTTAAAAATATGTATTTTATTAAGTGAATTAAAATATTAATTTGTTACTTTTTGATTTTGTATTCTCTGTTGATAATGATTAATTAGTTGATCTACGGCTGCTAACCAAAAGGTTGGCAGTTCACATCCACTAGGCACTCCTTGGAAACTCTATGGGGTAGTTCTTCTCTGTCCTGTAGGGTTGCTATGAGTTGGAATTGACTCGATGGCAATGAGTTTGGTTTTTTTTGATTCTCCCAGTACCAGGGATATTCAAGTAGCTGATCCTCTGATAGTTTTGGGGAGCACGATCACTCTTTTCTATGAAGAAAACAAAGCTTCCATAGTTTAGCTTATGAATACCGCCCTCTACTAAAAAGTGTTTCAGAGTTTTGAAATGGTGGTGTTATTTCCTGAACTAGCAGATCGTAACGACTTTTATAAAGGAACTTTGTGAGAGTCCGCGGTGGGTGAAGTATACCATTTTTATGTACCTTGCACCTGCAGACAGCTCTTCAACCCAGTCTTCTTGATCTTTTAAAAACTTGCTGAAGACTCCCCTTGCAGGTATTAGCTTCTAATCTGAGAAATATTTTTCTATGTGTAAAGCCTATTTCAGATCAATAGTTATCTTTTCAAAAAGATAAGCATACAAAGTTTCCCAAACAGAAATGCCCAAAGCTCCCAATGAGTTGAGCGTCTGTCTGTATTCTTTCTTTCCCTACGCTTCTAGGGTTATAGCCAGCACTCTGTAGGATGCAAACTCCCTTCTCTGTGCGCTCTGTCCTTTGTTTTTCGTGTATGGCTTTAATCTCTATTTTTTCTACCAGTTTGATGTTGCCGGGACTTTGAATGTATCGCTATATTTAACTTCAAGAATGTTCTGCGTGCTCTGTGTTAAGACTTAGGCGTTTTTAGTTTTGACAAAAAAGACTTCGGCCCATGAAAGAATATCCAGTGACAGTAAAGTGTCCTTTATTTTTTGCTTTCTAATATAGAGGAGAGCTTCCATTTCCCCTACTCTGGTGGGAAGATTAATTACCGTAGATTTTGTTCACATGGTCTTGATCACCTCCTCACTCATTTCCTCATTCAAATCAGTCCTCGTGTCAATTATTTTACCAAGTGTGGAATAAAAATAATAGTCTTCGAGGACTGTGTACAAAGCCCTATTTCTCCATGTTTACATAATATTGGCAAAGAAAACAATGCTCAGATGAGCAAGGCTGTCGCTCATAATGAAGGAAAACTTCTCTTGCGCAATTTTCTTATCTACGAGTAACACTAAGCACAGTCATTGGTTGTTTTCTGAGAAGACAGTATTGTTATCATTCTCAGCAGTAATTGGGGTGCCTACCATAGCATATTTGGGTGTGGTGTTTGGTGTTAGGGTCATAAAACACTGTGACTATCTCTGTCCTTGAGAGAGAAATGGTTTGAAATTGCCCAGGCTTCATGCCTGCGGGCAGCTAGGCAGGTACGTAAGTGAAAGAAAAAATCGTGTAAGTTGTGGAGCATTATGAATAGACAACAAGAGAGGAGAAGTGTTAAAGAAAATTATTTAAAAAAGAAAAAATGAAAAAATCAGAATAGAAAGTGTCCATACGCACTTGCCCCAGGATACATGGTGCGTATATTTCTATAATATTGCTTCATGCCAACCTGAGGGAGGCTGGGAGGAAATGGACATCCAGGATATTTTAAAGGATGGAAAGTTAGAGGTTACTGAGGCCTTCTAGGTCTCAGAATTTAGGGTATGAAATAATGTTACTAGACCTCGTCATCCTTTGAAACTGTGCCTCTGAGGTTTTCAACTTTGAGATTCTGTTTTCTAACCATAACCTCCCCCTCCCCCCTGCAATTTCTATTAATTCCATTAAACATGTTCTTTGACTTCTTCAAGACCAAGTCTCTTGGTCCTTCCTCGTCGTTTGGTCTCTGAGAGTAGTGCTGGATGTACTTCAGTCCTACTACTGGATCCTGCAGCCAGAAATTCCTATTGAACTTGTTACTAAGGTGTAACATATACGCAGAAAAACGTGCAAATTCCAAGTGGACAGCTTGGTGAATTTTCACAAAGTGAATACTGTACAATCAGCAGCGAGATGAAGAAACCAAACATTACTAGCACCCTCAAAAGCTTCTGTGGTGTCATCTTCAGTACCCCGCCCTAGGGTAATCACTATGCTGACTTTGACCAGCGTTAATTAGTTTGTCTGTTTTGAACTTATGTAAATTGAATTGTGTAATATGTATTCTTGTGTGCCTGTCTTATGTCCATCAATATAATGTTTTTAGATTCTTATTTTTGTGTTCAGGTGTTTATTCATTTCCATTGCTGTATAGTATTCTGTATGAATATATCATTATTTATTCATCATACTGTTGATCTCATTTGTGTAGTTTCCAATTTCTGTCTATTATGAAAAGTGCTTCTGTGAATATTCTTGTGTGTGTCCTTTGGTGTGTATGTACATGCACACGCATATTTCTGTTGGGTATATTCCTAGGAGCAGAATTGCTGTGTCATCAGACATGGGTTTGTTCGGCTTTCGTAGATTACTGCCACAGTTTTTCTAAGTGTTTATATCAGTATATGCTTCCAACAGCAATATTTGAGAGTTCTGGTTACCATATCCTTGCCAACTTTTCATATCTTCTTTTTTACTCTAGCCATTTATTCTTATAGGTATAGTGGTTCCTTCCACATAATGGTTTTAATTTGCGTTTCCCTAAAGACTGATGAAGTTGGGCACATTGACATATGTTTTGGCCATTTGGCTGTCTCTTGTGAATTACCTTTTCATAGTTTTGCCCATTTTTTATTGACTTGTCTTTTTTTTTTTTTTTTTTAACTTATTTATAGGTGTTTGTTACATATGTTGGATACAAGCCCTTTATTAGATATATATGTAGTGCAAATTGCTTCTTCCATTCTGTGGGTTACCCTTTCACACTATCAGTGGTTCCTTCTGATGAACAAGTGTTCTCAGTGTTAACGTAGTCCAGTTTATTATGTTCTTCCGTTATGGTTAGTGTTCTTTGGGTCCTGTTGGAGAAAATTTTGCCTATTGCAAGGTCCTGATGTGGCGTCACCTTTGTATAAATCAGATGATCACATAATTGTGGGTCTAATTAATTGGTCTGCCTGTCAATAGTTGCCCCAATATCACATTCACCTAGTGATTGAAATTTTATAGCAGGTCTTGATACCTAGTAGTTTCCAGTCTTCCAGTTTTACTGTTGTGCTTGGCTATTCTTGGTCCTTTGCATTTCCATGTTTATCATTTTGTCATTTTACACACGTGTGCACGCACATGAACCAGCTAGGATTTGATAGGATTGTGTAGGCTTTACATATTAGTTGGGGGAGAATTGACATCTTTACTGTGTAGCCAATAATTTTAAGTTCAATCTTATTGAGGCCCTCTGTTCTCTTTTGTCCTTCGGTTTTTCTTTCATCTATCCTATTAGCCCAACCCTAACTGAACTGAGCTGATCTGTTTTCTAGAATTTTGTTCCCAGGCTGCTTAAGAAAATCAAATAAGGGTCTGATTGACCCTCTTGTTTAAGACCTTGGTACTGTTCTGCAGTACTTGTTTCTGAATTATCTCCTTTCCCTTTCCCTGCAGTAATTGTTCCAATCTTTTATGACCCTCAAGTAACACAGCTTCTCCTTGCCAGTCCTAACCATGTTCTTAGCAGAATTCTGTGTGAAGATATCTGAAAAACAGTTAGAAATAAGGGCCTACATCTCAAGAGAAATGTGGATGCTGAAGACATGGATTTTGGGGTCATTGGCATAACATGGTACTTGAAGCCATAGATAGGGGTGAGCTTGCTCGTGGAGGAAGTACATGAAGTAGGTGGAGAAAAGAGCTAAGAGTGGAACCCTGGAGAACAACAGCATGTAAAGTTCAGGCAGAGGAGAAGCTAGAGAACATTACTGATGAGAAGAGGCCATATTAGCTGGAGGAGAACCAGAACAGAGAAATGTCCTGGAAACCAGGGGAAGGGAAAGTTTTAAGAAGTAGGAAATGGTCAGTAATGACGCATAGAAGACAGGAGCATGCTGACTGAAAATAGGCCAGTGGATTTGGCTGGAAACTTCAGCAGTCTACTTCAGTAGATGGTAATAGGTAGAAAAAGTGGAGGTATGAGTGTAGAGTACTCTCCCAAGAAGATTGATGGAAATGGTAAGGCAGAAGGTCATCCAGCTGAAAGAGAAGGTAGGATCAGAACATTCCTCCTTGATGTCTGTCACTCAGAATCAACATGTAGCTCCTCCTCCTGTTTTATCTGCTTTTCCTTCAGCTTTCTTATCTCTATTAGTGGCATCACCTTTTGCTTAGTTGCTCAAGCTGGAAACCTTGGAATCTTCTTTGCCTTCTCCCTTACCTCTCTTTTCCCCCTGTTTAGATGGTAACCAGGGCTTTTTTTTTTTTTTTAATTTATTGTGCTTTAGGGGAAAGTTTACAGCTCAAGTTAATTTCTCATTCAAAAATTTATACACATACTGTTTTGTGACATTGGCTGCAATCCCCACAATGTGACAGTACGCGCCCCCTTTCCACCCTGGGTTCCCTGTGTCTGTTCATCCAGCTGCTGTCCTTTCCTGCCTTCTTGTCTTGCTTTTGAGCAGGAGTTGCCCATGTCATCTTGTATATTTGATTGAACTAAGAAGCATGTTCCTCACGTGTATTATTGTTTTATAAGCCTGTTTAATCTTTGTCTGAAAAGTGGGCTTCGGGGGTGGTTTCAGTTCTGGGTTAGCAGAGTGTCCGAGGTCCATAGTTTCGGGGGTTCCTCCAGTCTCTGTCAGACCAGTAATCTTGTCTTTTTTCATGAATTTGAATTCTGTTCTACATTTTTCTCCCGCTCTGTCCGGGACTCTGTTGTGATCACTGTCAGAGCGGTTGGTGGTGGTAGCCGGGCACCATCTAGTTCTTCTGGGCTCAGGCTGGTGAGTCTCTGGTTCACGTGGTCCTTTAGTCCTTCGGGCTAGTATTTTCCTTGTGTCTTTGGTGTTCTTCATTCTCCTTTGCTCCAGAAGCGATGGTACCAAGAGATGTGTGGTAACCAAGGACTGTTGATTTTGTCTCAGTAATGTCTCTCTCAATCTCTTACGCTGCATTACTAGACTGGACTCTCCTCTCTTTCCTTGATATTGCAGTAACTCTTCTGTTGGTCGTTAGCAACCTTCCTTTCTCCAGTCTCTCCTCCGCCCACCATCCATTCTTTACACTGCCCATTTTTCTTTCTAAGACATGGTTCCCATCATGTCTCACCACTTCTTAAAAAGCTCAGTTGCCTTCCTGCTGTCTACTATCTATCATACACAAATCCATTAAATAAATTAGTAGCATGTACCAAGGAGCCCTGGTGGCATAGTGGTTAAGTGCTTGGCTGCTAACTGAGAGGTCAGCGGTTCGAACCCACCAGCCACTCCACGGGAGAAAGATGTGGCAGTCAGCTTGCATGAATTAACCTGTTGCCGTCGAGTTGATTCTGACTCATAGCGACCCTATAGGACAGAGAACTTCCATGTAGGGTTCCCAAGGAGCAGCTGGTGGATTCAAACTGCCAACCTTTTGGTTAGCAGCTGAGCAGTTAACCACTGCGCCACCAGAGTTCCTCCACCTTGGAAATCCTACGGGGCAGTTCTGCTTTCCTATAGAGTCCCTAAGAGTTGGAATCTATTGGATGGCAACAGGTGTGATGTGTGTATAACTATTTGCCAGGCACCGTACCACGCACTGGGAACACAGTGACGGACAAGATAGATGGGCCCTGCTGTCACCTAGCTTAATGGAATATAAGACTTTTTATAGTGTGGGGCCCAGCTTATCCTTCTAGGATCATTGTAACTCCTAGTCATGTACTCCAGCGATTGCAGGCAACTTCCTTTTCCATAGGCAGAATACGCATTATGACATCAACAGCCTTGCCCATGCTCCTCCCCACCCAGAGTGCCTTTCTTCTGTCGGCTTCTCATGTACTGTTGTCAGGTGACATTTATTTTCTTCTAGTTAGTCATTGGCTGTTAACTAGTAATGCCTCTATACAGACTTGGATTTTCTGAAATATTCCGCAGCTAACAATAATCTGCGTAACTGCCTCTGCTTCTTACTCTAAGAAAGAAGTTCTTGGGGGAAACTCTTTGTAGAGGAGACGTCTATCTAGGGTTGCAATTTAATTCTGGTCATTCTATTCTACATCTCTCTGGTTAGTAAGAATGCACGGAATAGAAGTGAAAAACAGACATACACACTTGAGTGTTTCGGAGAAACCAGTTGACCCGTCTGACTTTTCCCATAGAGTATTTTGAACTTACTGATCCACGTTCTTCCCATTTAGACTGATGATGAAGATGAGTCTTTTGTCCTCGAGGATCCTATGCTGTTAAACATCGATACTATTGATTCTCACTCCTATGATACTTCGTCTGTGGCAAGCTCAGACAGTGGCGACAGGACCAACTTAAAAAGGTAGGTGTTCATTTAAATCACTCTCATAGGGTTGAATTACTGGATCATTTAAAATGTAAATACCTCTTTATTAGTATAATGGGGTCTGCTGGAGCCCTGCATGGGACGTACAGGGACCACTTGGGTAGAGATAATCTGATCATTATACCCTAAGGATTTTGGCACTGTTGAGGAAGGGCTGGAAAGGTGAGTGCCGTGACTCCTGTCTTCTGCATGCCTTGTATGAAGCCATCACGATAGCCGGGGACTCCTGGGAACAACAGGGCCCTTGCAGGGAGCACAAACCACAGCTGGCGTCTGCAGTGTCTGTGGTGGGAACATGGAGCTAGGTTCAGCTCACCTTCCGTTCCCTGCACGTCCCGCCCCGACTCTGAGGTCCACTCCAGCATGCCTTCATCCCCTTGGAGCGGGTTCAGAGGAAAGCCACAGAGATGACGAAAGATGGGGGAAAAGGGCTTCTAACCCTTAGTAACTCCGTTTTGGCTGCTTTTCACCTTCTAAATTCTTGGAGAGAACATGGAAAATAAGAGAAGTGGGGGAAGCGTGATGAAAATGCTTTATTGAATTCACGTGTGACTTTAATGTCACTAACGTTGCCTGTATTTTCCCCTCCTTGTTAAATTTTGCTTGTCTCAGTGCTGTCTCCCTTAGGTTGGCAGCTGTTGTTGGCTAGGGGCCATTGCTGGGGATGTTAACCTATACGTCACCCTGTTCTACAGATAGATAAGTTACTTTGATGTCACGGCCACTCCCTGCTTCGGGGATGATAGTTTCTTCTTGTAACATCACAGCGAAGGCAAGCCTCATTTCACGGCCTCAGTCTGGACCTTGCTTACTGTGTTGGTCTCATCTCTAAGCATTCCCACCCTGGTCCTTCCAGGCCATGCCGTCATGCCTTCTGTGTGTTCCCTGCTGTGCAGACACACCGTGCACCTTCACTTCTCCATATTTCTGCTCAAACCTTTTTGTTGCCTGTGTGACTTCTAGTCATCCATCAAGACCAAACGTAGAATCGTCTCTTCCGTAGCTGTCGCTGGTATCCCCCTAATGAACAGGATTCAACTTCTCTTCGTTTGTATTTTTCCAATGCTTTATTCATACTTCTAGTCTAACATTTATCCTTTAAGAGCTACTTACTCGTCAGTCCCTCTAGCTAGGTGCTGAGGGCCTCGAGAGTGGGACCCAGGACTTCCTTATCTTTGTTCCCCAGCACATACTTTAATCTGGAACACAGAGCAGCTGCTCAGTAATGTCTGGTAAAAGTTTAACAATTAGTTTCTGAACAGCGATAAGTGGGATAAATGGAAGGACCCATAGCAGGAGCAGCCCGAGAGGGGAGTTTTGGAGAGTGGCTGGTTGAGGAACGGGAGGAAGGTTATAGACAGGAGAAGGGCAAGAAAAGCGGGCAAGGGCAGGAAGGAGGCTCGAGGTAAAGTAGACGTAGGGCAGGAAGCGTGCTCTGTAGACCACGTTCTGGGGAGTAGTGGAATGTTCACTCTGTTTCTTGAGATGGGCAAGGAACAGTTTGCGTGAGTGGAAAAGGAAGGGTGCTTTTATTCATTTTCCTGCTTTGCTTCTGTGGGGTTCAAGGTGGGTTTAGTACAACATCTGAGTGTGGGACCGTTAGACCTCTTGTACCGCTTTTCAAGACAGCTAACAAATTACATACAGTGTTGTTTTCTGCTTTTCTTATTCTTTTGTGTTCTTTTCTTTCAAAGGGTTGGGCCCCTGCCTTTTCAAGGTTTTTTTTTTTTTTTTTTTTAATCTGTTCTTAAATGTTTTCCTTTTTTGTTAGGAAGAAGAAGTTACCTGATAATTTTTCACTCCATGGATCAGTTATGCGACATTCCCTTTTGAAGGGAATTTCTGCCCAGATAGTGTCTGCAGCTGTAAGTATTTTGTTCTCTTCCCCAGCTTTATTACCTGTGATGGCATAATGAAGTCGGAATGGGCATAAAGCAACACACAGCACTTCTCTTGGCCCCGAGGCTTACGACAAATAGAATCTGGTTTCCGTGGTTTTTGTGGGATCATTTTTAACTCGTAAGACGTGGCTGCACGTTTTGACGTAGAAATTAGTGCAGCCCTGAAAATCAGGGTCTGCCCCGAGTCTCGGGTGTGCCTGAGTGAAGTATGGCGGCAAGCCTCCAAGAAACACCGTCCGCCTTTCCTTTGGATTCCTCTCCAGTTTACGGGCCATCTTCTGTATTTGGTTTAGGTCAAGTGTTCGGTCCTTTTAGTCTTTTCACATGGAGAAAAGATTGGTCAGAATCTTTTACAACTGAGTGATTTTTATAATCCACCAAAGGCTTTTCATGGACCTTATTGTAATTACTCTTACAACTTTGAAAGTGGGTAAAGCCATATCCTGTTTTGCAAATGAGAATTCAGGCTCCGAGAGGTGATATTAACTTGTCTTACATGGCTTAGCTTAAAGGTAGCAGAGCAGATACTGGAAAGCAGGCTTTCTGGCTCCACATCTGGTGCTTCTTTGTTGTGAAGTGACAGGTATTGGTGAATGTTGCCAAGGCATAATTGCTGGAAGAGAATATTTGTGGCCTTTTTTGAAAATGACTTACAACACTGGGTTAATGCAAAAAATACTTAATAGTTCATGGAGACAGTAGACACTGATTCTGGTATGTTTTTATGAAACTTTCCTTTGGCCTCAAAGCCCACAGGTTGTTTTGTTTTTTATTTTGTATTTGGTAGGTTCCCATTTAACAATTTTTATGCACATTGTTCGTGACATTGGTTACAATTTTCGCAACGTGTCAGAATTCTCATTATTTCCATTCGGCTTGTTCTGTTTCAAAGCCCATAGTTTTATGTAGTCTTTCAATTTTAATTTTCTGAACTCAACGTATAGATCCTGTATGCAATAATAATAATATGGCAGACTCATGCCCCAGCAATTTTGGTGTGTTTTTTTGTTCTTTTCATGGAGCTTGATTGGTATTTTGCATATCCAGTTTGGACAAGAAGTAAAGGTTTTGATTTTTCACACGAGTGAGAGATTGACACAGGCGTGACACCATGACGTCCCAGTCATGTTGCCGTTAGCTTGTTTCCCAGCAAAGGCTCTTATTGCTGATCCCATTCAAAACCAAACCAGACCCCCCAAAAGTCTGTTCACAATGGGCAACTGGTCTGTCGTGACCCAGCTTATATATCATGGAGTCATTTTAAATAGAGAGATGGCGAAGCAGTGGGGGAAACCTCGGCAATTGTCCGTCCTCTTTTAGGTGGAGAGTAACTCATATTTGTTGGAATGGGAACCACCTGTAGAGGATTACATTTCCATGACGTTTTCTGAATTTAATCCTTATGTAGGTGATGAAATTCATTCCTTTCAAAATCGAGATGAACCAGAACCGTCATTTGACCCACCTGTGCAGTTTTAAAAATATTTTGAAAAATAGAGACTGAGCTAAAACTCAGACACTGAACAGTGATTAGATAAATCTGTTATTTAAAAGGCTCTCTCCTCCCTCTTGAAGAAGAGGGAAAAATTCTAATAAATCCCAGAGTGTTTGCATTCTGTTCTTATTTCATTGCCATGGCTGAGCTCCTTTGGTATGTTAAAATGAAAACTGCCTTGCCTTTGACAGTCATCATACTTTGCCTTCCTAATCTTGGATTACCAGCTCAATTTAAATTGTATGCTTTTCTGTGATGGTTGGTTTATTAACATGTAAAGCCAGTTATGTTTCTGGGTATCTCTCCTGGATAGTCATTCCATAGTGCTCGCCGCCATGTGCATAGTGATGATGTTAGGGCCGCCTAGGGCTTTGGTCAACTTTGGAGTCCACGCGTGGCAAACACTTAGGAAAGATGATGCTTTGGGAGTTGAGTCTCATTGTTTAATTTTGGGACCCTCCTCAAAGCAGTAGGACATGTGACTATATTTTAAATTAATTCAAGTTGATTTTTAAAGGATCTTCATCATTTTTATGATCAACCGAAGATTAATAGAGATGCTTATGGGCAGTGTTTTTTTTCAGAGCGTGTCCAGTGCATAAGAATCTCCTAGGATAAAACCAAAAAAACCCAAACCCATTGCCGTCGAGTCAATTCTGACTCATAGCAACCCTATAGGACAGAGTAGAACTGTGCCGTAGGGTTTCCAAGGAGCGGCTGGGGGATTTGAACTGCTGACCTTTTGGTGAGCAGCCGAGCTGTTAACCACTGCACCACCAGGGCTCCTCTCCTAGGATGAGCTTATTGACATGCAGATTCCTGGGTACCACACCAAGCCTACTGAACCTGAATCTCTAGCAGTGTAGCATAGGGATCTGCATTTTAATAGGTATCCCAGGTGATTCTGATACACTCTGGCTTTTGAGAACCACTACCCAAAGATGTAGCAACACCAACAAAGGCAGTTTCTGATTCGTGACGGGGTTCTGTTCTGAGGGCTCTGTCATAAGTGGGTTCTGACGCAAGTCGAATACCTCTGTAAAATTTTTTTAGTTTTTATTATTACTACCTTTTATTATCAGTATCTTTATAAATCCAATCTTTATTTGTCTTTGGGGGTTGGAAGCATTACATATAAGCTTACAGATATATTTTAACATTGTACGTAGTACGTATTATTAACGATAAGATGTTAAAAAAAAAAAAACAACAGATGGTCGTAAGTGCGATTTGTCATAACTCCAGTACGTCGTAAGTCAGGGCTTATCTGTGCTAAAATTCTGTAATCTCTAGGATGCTTCCCATGTCTGTGGTCCCCCCTGCCACCAGCTTTTGAAGTCAGCTGACTTCGATTTCATTAATCAGGTTCCAATTTGGGTATGGTTTATGTTCTTCATCTGTTGACCCCTCTTTTTCCTGCCTGGGGCACAACTCAAGCAGTTATCAAATATTTGTTGCACATTTCTTAATTGTTAAGCATTATGCTTTAGGCCACACACAAAGGTGGGTACATGCTGTTGTCCAGAAATTGCGTATAGCAGCCTTGGCATTTGTTCTTTCTTGTATTGCTGGAGTAAGTTGAAGTTGTTCCTGGGAAACTACAAAGTTGGTTAAGCAGACTTAGATTCTGCCTTCTAGCAGATTATAATAAGTGATTGACCACATTGGCAAGGGCAGAGAGAGAAAAGAAGATGTAGAAGTTGTCCATATGAAGAGCACTGGGCTGGGAACTGGAAGCCCTGAGTTTGAGGCATCGTTTTACCATTTACTGAGTAACCCTGGTTAAGTTAGTTGAGCTCTTTGAAACGTCTGTTTCTTAATCTGGAAAATGAGACAAATAGCGCTTGTTCTCTCTCTCTGGGTTGGAGAGTTAAATTTTGTAATGCATGTATGTGAAAGCTCTTTGTTACTACAGTTGTATATCATTGTAAGTCGTTGTTATTTACGGCTGCAGAACCCTCAAATAGATAGATACCCTTACATTTATATGATGTTGTTACTAGTTGCCATTGAGCTGATTCCCACTCATGGCGACCCCACATGTGCAGAGTAGAACTGCGCCATAGAGTTTTCAAGGCTGTGACCTCTCGGAAGCAAATCACTAGGCCTGTCTTCTGAGGTGCCTCTGGGTGGGTTCGAGCCACCAACCTTTTGGATAGTAGTCGCCCACTTAACCACTCACATCACCCAGGGATTCCATGCATTTATACGATACTGTAATTTTTTAGGTCTTCAGGACAACTCACTGAGGTAGATAAGGTATTTTTTTTTTTTTTTTCAGAGAAGTCACTGAAACTTTACTTTTATCCAGAAAATGAAAGTAACTTCTTGTCCACCTGCTAGAAAGTGTAGCATTAAATATTAATAGGAGTAATCATGTGAAGTGGAATTTGTACAGTAATTCACAGGTCAGCGAATGGTTACCATGCATTATCTAATTAATAACATAGCATTTACTATTTCTTTGAGCAGATGAGCCTAATACCCATAAGGATCAGGTGACATTCCCAGAGTCACACAATTGTTGGTAAAGAGCTAGGACTGGCACTTAATTTCTGACTTTGTGATGCAGCCCCATCTTGAGAACTGACTGAATATACTCTGCTGGGAGTTTGTTTAGAGGTTGTTGGGTAATCTGCTGGAATGGAGCTCCTACTTAGAGGAAGCATATCTTTAGCATGTATTTCCCTTTTCTGAAATCTTTATGCACTCTTATCATTTTGACCCATAGCACTTATAATTTATTCATCTTATTGAAAATAATACCTTTCTTTTCTCTTTTTCCTTTACATTCCCACTTATAATCAGTATCCTTACTGAAATATCTGTTACAGTTAGTAAAACAAAATGATCCACTCCCATGATCTTTGTGTTTTGTTGGTGCATACAACTTTTTGTAATTTCTCTTATCTGAAAACAGAGAATATCTTTTCAAATACCTTTTTTTTTTTTTTTAACTTCATTTAGGACAAAGTAGATGCTGGCTTGCCTACAGCAATTGTAAGTATACTTTAAGTAACCTCTTAAAGGTAAGCTTTTCGTTTGATTGGGTTTTCTTAGGCTATTCTCGTAGTGTTTAAAGTTGGTCCATAAATTATTGTGACAGTGAATTCGTGAGTCATTTCCTTGCCGGTAATCGAGTTTAAAATTCATCCCTTTTTTTCCTAGTCTATTGTTACTCTTTAGGCTTTTGTTTGAGAAGCAGGTAATGGAATGATAATTAGCCTTTTCTGAGTTTATTTGTACGTGGTGCCACTCTGCTTATGAGTATATTTGCTCCTTCTGTGACTTGGCCTCTCTTCCGTCACAGGGAGTGGAAAATAGCACCGGGTGAAACCACTTTGTGGTAAATGGTACATTGAACAGCTCTGGACTCAAACATTTCCGAGCCTGCCAATAGCAAATCTCTGGAGCGATTATGGAGAACTGGGGGATATGGAAAGCCCTCTTTTCACATCTTCCTCCAGCTGCCTTCTCTAGCCTATTAGTAGTTGGGCATTTGGTGAGGGAGCAGGCTGAATTTTGAACATTTCTGGTGCCTTTTGGCTCCTGTGAATAAACTAGAGAAGAGTTTTCTCATCCCTTCACCACACCTCTTAAGAATCTCTTGGTTGGATAGCATAAACAAACAAACAAAAGAAAAAAACCAAACCCATTGCTGTCGTGTCAATTCTGACTCATAATGAACCTGTACTATAGGGTAGAATCAGATTGCCCCATAGAGTTTCCAAGGAGCGGCTGGTGGATTCGAACTGCCGACATTTTGATTAGCAGCCGAGCTCTTAACCACCGTGCCACTAGGGTTCTGGGTAGTATAAGTGCCTTTAAGTTTATCTGGGCCCCTGATTTTTTTTTTTTTTTTTTGTAGCTTTTGAGGAAACTAAGTGGCATGCTTTTGCCTATAATGTTGAACATATGTTATTTTGATATTGTTACCCTTAGACTAAATTTAGAGGGATTCCCAGAAATAAAATATTCTGAGTTTCATTTCCCCTCTTGCCCCCTGGATGAAATTGTCGGTATTCATATATGGCTGGTATGCCATCTGGTGCCTAGAGAAGGGAAGACCAGCATATTTAACCATGATTATTTCAAGATCCTCGATGTAATGTCTTAAAATGTAATCTTTTGTTTTCAGGCAGTGTCCAGTCTGATAGCAGTTGGTACATCTCATGGATTGGCTTTAATATTTGGTAAATTTTTAAAGTACTTTTCTAATTTAAGTGTTAAGTACCCTTCGAGTTTTATAATGTTCTTTAATCACAGTTTATATATTGTACTTTATTCTTGAACAAAACCGGGAGAAGCTCGAAAAGGAGCAGTCAGTATTTTTACACAGTTAAAAATTACCGGACTCACAGCTTCATTTTGTTTTGTGTTGCGAGCTCATTGTCTTCATTATGAATTTTAAGCTGTCGTATGTATTGACTCTCTGTGGGCCTAGAAAAAAGCAGTGTAAAGCTGAAAGGGACCTTGATCGTCGCCTTATCTGCCTCCAGTCGGTGGTGGTGGTGATTTTGGTTTTAAATCATATCTAACTAATGGATTTTCTGAAAGATCTCCAGGAAAAGATTTTCCAGGCTCTCTCAGTTATTTTCTGTAAATTTCACTGGCAATAAGCTCTTCTCCATTTCCATTATAAATCCCTCTAAACGAAAAATTTTAGCCCATAATCATGTTCTTTTCTAGGTTGAGAAAGGACCTTCCCTAGCTTCATTTGTGTATTAGAAGATAGTCTTAAATATTTCCTCTCTTTTGTCCACCCCTACCCAAGATTAACCACAGTTTCATTAATCCTTCTTTGGTTTTGAACTCAATACTATAAGCAGAACATTTGGTTCTGTTTTAAAAAACTATTAGATAATATTTTTCTGTAATTTTTGATGTTTTCTTCTGAATCTTAAATCTTTTGCATCTGTCTTAAGTGGAATTCTGGTGAAACCATGTTTTAGTGAGAAATCTTCAGAGTATTGTAGAGGGATTAGTTGAGGATACTTTGATCACAGAACCACAGTGTGACTTCTGTGGGCCTTGCATCTTGATTTACCATGCAAGTGGATAACTAGTTATTTTCCATTATTTCTGAACAACGTGACTTCCTATTTACAAATTCTCTCTTATGCCAAAATCTTTATTTAACATGATTTTAACACCTCGTCTTTTCAAAAGTGATTGATTCAGAAGAGTGGAGAAAAAGATATAATGTTCTTGAGAGAATTTTAGAATCAATTTTTTAAATAATTTTTTTTTATAATTGATATGTGTTCACAGCAGAAAATTTAGAAAATATAGATGAGTAAAAAGTTGTAGATACTAAGTTCTCCAATTTCTATCTTCCAGGAACAATCCCTAACATTTCTGAGTAGCCTTCTAGTCTTCTTTCTGTATGTGAATATATGTATGTATACACCCTAAAGTGTTAATTTGCAACCTGCTTTTTCATACTCACTGGTGACACAGTGGTTAAGAGCTCAGGCTGCTAACCAAAAGGTCAGCAGTTCGAATCCACCAGCCACTGCTTGGAAACCCAATGGGGCAGTTCTACCCTGTCCTGTAGGGTCGCTATGAGTCGGAATCGACTCAACAGCAGTGGGGTTTTTCATTATAATGAACATCTTTCCGTGTAATCACTTATTCAACCGAAACATCATTTTTAATGGCTACATAGTATTCTTTTGAGTGGATACACTATCATTTACTTAACCATTTTCTATTATAGGACATTTATGTTGTTTCTAAAACAATGGAGTGATGAACATTTTGTTACGGAATTTTTGTCCTTGGTCATATTCCTAGACATACAATTGCTTGGGTAGACTTTAGTAGTACTCCCTAATCGCCCTCAAGAAAACTTTTACCAGCCTGCTCTCCTATCAGCTGTAAGAATGCTTGTTTTTCTGTGGGGGCGTAATTGGATATTAGATTGATAGAATTTTGGGAAAGGAGCTGAAAGGATCTTTTAGTTGAGTCCTCTTATTTTACACCTGAGGAGATTGAGCACCATGGTGGTTAAGTGACACATACAGAGTCAAGTTCAGGACCAAGAATATCGACTCCTAGATCTCCACCATTCCAAGCAATCCCCCATTCTGGGAGAAGAGGAGCCAAATTCCCAGATATATAAAGAAATGACTAGAGGAACCGAGGTAAATGAGAATTAAATAGAATGCATACGTTCATCTGTCAGCAGAGTGTATATTGATTTTTCGTTCCCACTTACCCAGGGCTCACTGTTCCTCAATCCTATTTCCTTTAACATCCTTTCCTTATCACCAGGTTCTGAGAATATGTATCTGCTTACAATCAAACCCATGTAGCGCTTACTACAAACAAATTAAAACAAATACTTCAATAATAAAAACTAACAGAGGAGAAAAAGAATACATTACTTTTTGGTACTACCTCCTTAATTTCCTTGGGCCTACTTCCCTTTTCTTTTTTTTTTAAATTTTCTTGTGCTTTAGGTGAAAGTTTGCAGTGCAAGTTAGTTTTTCATTCAAAACTTAATACACAAATTGTTTTGTGACATTGGTTGCAATCCCCACGATGTGTCAGCACTCTCCCCCTTTCCCTTTCCCCCCTGGGTTCCTCATGTCCATTCGTCGAGTTTTCCTGTCCCTCCCTGCCTTCTCAGCTTTGCCTTTGGGCAGGTGTTGCCCGTTTGGTCTTGTAGACTTGACTGAACTAAGCGGCGTGTTCCCCACGTGTGTTGCTGTCTGTTTTATAGGCCTGTCTAATCTTTGGCCGAAAGGTGGACTTTGGGAGTCGCTTCAGTTCTGAGTTAGTAGGGTATCCAGGGGCCATAGTCTTGGGGGTTCCTCCAGTCTCTGTCAGACCAGTAAGTCTTGTCTTTTCTTGTGAATTTGAATTTTGTTCTATATTTTTCTCCCACTCTGTCCAGGCCCCTGTTATGATCCATGTCAGAGCTGTGGGTGGTGGTAGCCGGGCACCATCTAGTTCTCCTGGGCTCAGGCTGGTGGAGGCTGTGGTTCGTGTTGTCCTTTAGTCCTTTGGACTAATATTTTCCTTGTGTCTTTGGTTTTCTTCATTCTCCTTTGCTCCAAATGTGATGGGACCAATAGATGCATCTTAGGTTGCTACTCACAAGCTTTTAAGACGCCACTCACCAAAGTAGGATGCAGAACATTTGCTTTATGAGCTATGTTATGCCAGTTGACCTAGATGGCCCCTGACTGCTTCCTGTTTTGTTTTTTTTTTTTAAAAAAAAAAAAACCCACAGCTTTCTTGTAGAGCTGATGAAATAGTAACCTTTTACTGCTGTCTCAGGGACAGAGTGGTATGTCCAATTGAACATTTTAAGGAAAAAAATCACAAATATTCGGTTGTGCTTTGGGTTTTAGTAGTGCAGTTAATACATTTTACTTGTTGTTTATGGAAATCAGATGTTTGGACAATGTGTTTTAACAAATGGCTTAGCAGTGTGCTTGCAAGCCCAGAGACAAATCGCAGAGTACAGTAATAATACTGTGAAGCGCCTCGCTCAGAGCTCAGGGCAGGGTACAGTAATAATACTGTGAAGCGCCTCGCTCAG